ATATATACAGTATATATGAATAGGCACCTCTATCAATTAGTAACAAGAAAGTATAAATTTCTTGGGTGTAGATTCATTTTAAACAGCAAAAATTGCTCTTTTAAAGGCTAAATTTAATACTAATATTTAAAACAAAATAAAATATTAGTAAGTAGATTGTATTTAAAACAGACATAGCCACAGATATCCATCCTATCTCTAATACTGAATCTTTGTTGTTCCCATGGGGCTGTTGGTACAATATTCAGCATTAGAAGAATATAAGGTACACATTGTCATAAAAGCTGAAAATTATAAGGAGTCAGCTACCTGACTGAGCAGGTGAGTGAATCAGTATCATTTGCAGAGAGTCTTTGCATAAATAACATATTATTGTATTTGCCTTTCAAACATTGAGGTTGATTTACTAAAGAAATAGAAGCTGTTCATTATGCAAAGTGAATTTTCATTTACAGTATTTAAGCTTTGCTTTGCTTACAAGACCCAAGAATATGTAAGGAAGAAAATATGGCTCTAGCTGGCACATGATTGGATAGTTCATGATGATCATAGCTTCCCTCTATTTACTAAGCTAAGAAGACAGTTTCTCTTACAAGTTAACATTCACATCCCTAAGTGAACAACCTCTACTCCTTTATTAAATCAAACTTACTGTATTTTTGGTATTCATAATTGTTCTACATGTTTAGATTAACACTTGAGTGAGTTAGCATATTAGTCACCCCCTCTATCCTAACCATCCTCTGACACTATACTCATATACACTGCTACATCTCTGGGATCAATCAATTGATATCAGCTTATAGTAGGAAAAATAATAAAGTTTGAACTGAGTCATTTTCCTGAACATCAGTATTCTAAGCTTTTTCAGGTGAGGTCACATGAATAAAAACCTCTGTGGGAGCCAACAGCAACATTTGTTTCAGGATAAGTAAGAATTTCATGGCCCTTTTGTCATCCATAAATTCTGTTGGCAGGATGGTCTGGATGCATGAGTTAGTCAATATAGAAAGGCCTACAAATACATGTTTCCAAAAACCTAACTGGGTATATTAAGTTAATTGGAATCATTGCTAAATGCTGTGATGTATTTTGTTATAATGCTGCATTGATGAATTGTTGTTTAGGAGAGAAAAAGACAAAAGAAATGTAACTATGTAAAAACATACATTATTGTACACTGACACCCATTTATTGCTCCTCACACTCACAGTTATTTCCCTTACATATTTTGGCATGCAGTTTAGAAATGCTGGGGAATATATATACTGTAAGTCAGCACTCCTTAAGAAAAGCTGCTAGCACCAACCAACCTAAAAATGTAATGAATAAAAAAGATAGTGCAGTGCTAAATATACAAATGACATAAATGATGTGCAAAAACAATCCATATATCAAACAATATAACATATATACCAATCAAATGGTAAAAATAGAAGATTATATCAGTGTAATACAAAAAGTCCAAACAATGAAGTGCGTGTCAAATAATGAAAGTGTCCCAATTGTGCAAAGAAAAAGAAACGGCTAGCTTCTTCTTCCCAGTAACATCAACAATGTGCACTCCTCCATCCATATGCACTCACCAGAGGCCAAACGAAGAGACAGAGGGCTCGGGATGAGGGGCAGAAATGAAGATGGCTCGGGATGAGGGGCAGAAATGAAGATTCCCGTCTTCTAATTATATTACTTTCATCATTTGAAATCTGGTTGATTTGTTCAGGCTCTTTTCATCTAGGACTTTGGAAATGATGACCAGGAATTGAAATTTAGAGATGATCACGGCGTATATGTTTTATGCAATTACCATTTAGCCTCTGGTGAGTGCATACGGGTGGAGGAGTGCACATTGTTAGTGTTACTGGAAGAAGAAGCTGTCATTTTAATTTTCTTTGCACAATTGGTACACTGTCATTATTTGACACGCACTTCATTGTTTGGAGTTTTTTTGCATGATACTGATATAATCATCACTTTTTACCAGTGGATTGGTATATACAGTATGTTATATTGTTTGATATATGGATTGTTTTTGCACATAATTTATGTAATTTGTATGTTTAGCGTTGCATCTTTTTTATTCATTACTAGTTTAGAAATGTGCCCCACTGTCTGTAATATTCTAACTGAGGTACTAGGAAAGAGTGATGGCTTAAAAAAAGATGGAAAATACCCATTTGTTCCACCATGGAAAAGTTATTCCATCTATATTTATATAATGTAACACCCTTTAAAAAGTTCTAATTGCATAAAGTGCTCAATCCTAAAGTGCTATGTGACTCATAAAAATTAATTAAATCATTCCAAGCTTATATTCACAATTATATAATTAAATTTTGAAAGTGACTGCTCAGTGATCATTTTTTTATGTTTTTATTGAGATTTTACAAGTTTTACATTATACATACAGTATAAATAAATCAAACTTCTCAACTGTTCATCTACACCACATAGCAGCTCTCCTTCCCCAACATATCAACCCAAAACAACTATAAGACAGATCCGATCCATACAGTTTTGGATATATTCTTACATAATGACAATACAGATTTTATTGTCATGTAGATATAAAATGTAAAACCTTCCACAGGTTTGTCAATAGTGTACATAAATTGTATACATTGCATATCTTTATTACTGTATATCTTTCATTGTACAGTGGTAGAATCCTTGTGCTAGTGGATAGGGTATTGTTAACAGTACTTGATAAAACAGTCTTTGTAAAATAAAGTGTGAAGGTGCAAGACATGGAGTTCCCAGCCAGATTTCCCAGATTTTGATGGGGTTACACCTTTATTGGTTTTTAGCTTTTTCCTTTTGATTAACAGTGTTGTTAGACTGTTACCATAGGTTAAAGGTAGGAGGAGTGGGAGATATTGATTTTTCATTTTTCTGTACAGCAGTTGGGTAATAGTAGTGTGTATTTATGTTGTAAACTCTCTCATCTACCCAATATATATTCTGTAGGGTCATTCGGTAGGTCAAGTTTAAGTACAATATTGACGGCATCAAGTATGTCTCTCTAGTACCTAAATAGTTTACGATATTTCCACTGCATATGCTGCACATATACCACTCCATGCTCATACTATAATTCATAACCCTCCAATTTCTAGACCTCAGGGGAAATGTTTTTTTCCCACAATGTTGAGTATTAAGTAAAGCCTTCATCAGCAAGTGTCTGTTTTACAATTTTTTTCCTGCATATGTAAAGTTGGTGTGTCATGTAGGTAATAAATTGACCTGGTGCATGACTCAATACAGGGGAGTTATGGGGAAACACCAGGATGAGAAGTTTCAGCATAACAGCAGTGAAATCTAGTTTGCACAACATGCCATATGCATAATCTAAGATGCAAAGAAATAGCATTTAGCATTTGGGACAGTCAGCCCTCCAGCATCTTTAGGAAGCTGCAGTGTTTCATTTTAATATTAGAATCTCTATTCAGAGATCTGATTTGGACATAACAACATTCAATTTGTTTAAATCTTTTTAAAGTTATCCAGACAAGGGTGTTACGAAGTATATACAGAAGTGGAGCCAATAACTCTTTATTACATTGGTTGTTCCCACCACTGCAGTAGTTTATATAAACGATTACATTTTGATTAAGTTCAGCTATCAGACCAGGTTGATTGAGTTTTTGGTATTTGGACAACTCTATGGAGATTCTGATGTCTATTTACTGAGGCCCAATATTTCTACTTGTTTTATCTGGTTAGTACAGCTGAGCAGTACTTGGAAGATGGGGTTCACTGGGAATAACGTAGATTTGTCCCAGGGGGGGGAATTAATTAACTAGATTCATTCACGTTTCAAGTTAGAACGAAGTGTCTCCTAAAATTAGTAAGTCATTGTCTGCATATAAGGCATTTTTTCCCTTTGTCTCTCCCCTCTGAAAACCAACATTACTATGAATATGAATGTTCTCTCCCCTCTCAAAACCAACATTACTATGAATATTAGAGGCTGGGGGCTCAATAGCTAGGGAAATTAGATAAGATGACAATGGGTCTAAGTGTTTTTACCTTAATGCATTCTCAGCATTGAGGTAAAAAAACTCCCCACTACTTGTTCTCCCTACTCCGATTCCTACACATTTGCTTGCCTCCTTTCACTGCCTTCATGGCTCCAGCACCACTCTCCTCTTTTCCGGGATTCACAGGAGACACTGAGAGCATGGATGCCATAGGCTCCTGCTGTTGGCAGTCAATCTCCTGTGATTAGGAAGCAGGGGCATGGCTTGCTAGCACTGTGTGTATGGTTGCGCACAACCCGGCTTGGGAACACGCCCACATGGGTGCAAACATAGCAAATGGCTTGCTAAGGGGGTACTCGCAGGAAGAAGGAGCAGAGAGCACTGTCAGGGGACAGCTAAAAAGGAGGTAAGGGACTGCACTGTGCAACATTGTTTTACATATCAGGTAAGTGTAATATCTTTTTTATTTTAGTCAAAAAAACTTTAATATCACTTTAAGGAGAGTGGTTCTGAGATGAGATTATTCACACGGACGTGGGCCATTGAGTTTGCATGCAATAGTTCGAACCAAGTAAATAAAGTTGAGGCCTAGGCCAAAAGTATATAGAACTTGTCACTCCGGAATAATAAATTCCTCAATGACATCTAATGACAAGATAGTTTGAGTCAGCTCTAAATGGAGAACTTTAAAAGTTCACTCAACAAGGTGCGTTTTAGGGCTTCTTGACCATTTTTATTCAAACTTTGAGAAGTGCAGACAATAATATATACAGTATGATTAAAGTGGTAAAAACGTGAGACTGTTATAATAAATATAGTGTATATCTAAATATACTGTATGAATACATGGCTATCATCTAAGGTGGAGCGGTACAGTCTTGCAATACGCATACCAAATCACATGGATCTCCTTGTTGTCATAAATCTGATTTCCAAAGACCACCCCTAAATATGCATATGATTTCTTTTTTTTCAAGATCAAAGAACAAAGCAATGTTTTCAAGTCCATTAAATCATACCATGGTGACATTTTTCTATATTAAAGGGATCACTGATGAGTCAGATCTCCAGATTTTAATCTTCATCCCAGTCCTGCTAATTTATTTCATCACCCTTGGTGGCAATGTGACCATTCTTCTGCTCATTTGTTTGGATCATCACCTGCACACTCCCATGTACTTCTTCTTGGCCAACTTGTCCATTGTGGATGTGTCTTCTTCCACCATCACTTTGCATAAAGTCCTAGTCATCTTCATAACTGGAGATCACATGGTTTCATATCCAGCATGCATAACTCAGATGTACATTTTTGCATCCTTGATTGGACACGAGCTTCTAATTTTGTCTGCAATGAGTTATGATCGATATGTTGCCATCTGTAACCCATTGCGTTACCACATGATTATGAACAGTAGAGTTTGCTCTTTGCTTGCCATCAGCTGCTGGTTTATGGGCTTCGTACAAGTCCTACCTGCTGTTGTAATCTTCTCAGGCTTCTCATGCTACACCTCTAATGAGATCAACCACTTCTTCTGTGACATGATACCTTTGATAAAAAACATCTGTAATGACACTTCTGTATTGGATATTGTGTTTTTAATCCAAGGAATCTTTGTTATAACACTACTCCCCTTCCTTTTTACCTCAATCTCTTATATTTTTATCATATCTACCATAATGAGGATCGTTTCCAACACTGGAAAACGAAAAGCCTTTTTTACATGCTCCTCACACCTAACAGTAGTCATTCTTCTTTATACAACACTTGTCTCCCAGTACTTGACACCAACATCATTGGGAACATTGAATGCAAAGAAGATGTTCTCTCTATTCAATACAGCAGCTGTTCCCTTGTTAAATCCTTTAATTTATAGTTTGAAAAATAAAGATGTTAAGTTAGCTGTAAGGCGTATGTTGGGGTTCTGTAAAATCATTGGCTGAACAATGTTTAATTACAATCTGTGGTGTCAAGACCATATTTTTAATTATGTATAATTTCTAAAGATCATTGTAAAAATAAAATTGGAAGATAATATACTATAATCGTTTAGAGCTTTTTTTCTGGAAAAAAAATAAAGCCCTCTCAGGCCCTCTTACTAATTCAGACTTTTTTTTTTTTTTTTACTCATCTCGTATATACTCACTTAAGTCTGCAATCTGAGTCCCTGGTCTTCACTGTTTTTCTTTTTGTAAATATTAAAACATTAAAATGGTATCAAAACGCATCTGTCATACCATAAATGTTGTGCAAGTGGGAATTGTGCTGGCTGTGATTTCACATGTGCTAAAGTTGACCTGAACTCAAAACGTGGAGATTTGCTATTTTATATGGAGCAGCCAAAAATTGACATTGGACCTAAGCTAAAAGTAAAAGTTACTTTTTTCTGACATTCCTCCCAAAAAAAAAGGAGCACTTTCTGATATGGTGCCTAGGTCCTTCTGTGTCTACAGCCTCATAGCTGTAGGCCCTTCTGTGTCTACAGCCTCATAGCTGTATATATCTTCTGTGAGGTTAAAGCAGCTCTATAGATTATGCAATTTTCTTTCCTTTCACCTCCCAGTCAGTGTTGATGTGGGAATCCCTCCTGCAGCACTATTGTGTTCTTTCAGCAGATACACGAGCTCTGTTGAGCTCATTTCACCAGAGGTGCTCATTCAATATAAAAGTGCTGTGAAGTGGATTCTTCAAGAAAGTTGTGTATTTATTGATCACTAACTGCTGCTCAACCGCACTATAGCTGAAAGACGGTTACAGCACGATTGTCCAGTTCTGGAAGGGTGTCCTTGGATGTCCTCCCAGAATGCGCCCCCAGTGGCCTAACGGACACAGATGATCATGTGATTAGGTAAAAGGCCAATCACAGTGTCCTTTTACGACATGATCAGCTGTGTCCAATGACACAGAAGATAACAAAGTAAATACAGTTGCCGGTTATTGGCAGCACTTTCCTCACACTATCACAGTAACAAGAAAGTGCTGCCAATAACCGGCAAATGTGACAGGGGAGATCTGCACTGATAATCAGGGCACTGATTATCAGTGTCGCCCAGCAGTGCCCAGCAATGCCACCTAGCAGTGCCACCCATCTGTGCCCAGCAGTGTCACCCATCAGCGCTGCCCAGCAGTGCCCCCTGTCAGTGCCACCAGCCAGTGCAGTCAGTGCCGCCAGTCAGAGCTGCCCGTCAGTGCCTCCTCATCAATGTCCACCAGTGCTGCCTCAACAGTGTCCATCAGTGCTGCCTATCAGTCCAGCCTCATTAATACACATCAGTGAAGGAGAAAAATTACCTGTTTGCAAAATTTTATAATAGAAACAAAACCTTTTTTTTTTTTACATTTTTTGCTCTTTTTTTGTTTATAGTGCAAAAAAAAACCCCAGTGGCAAGTAAATACCACCAAAAGAAAGTTCTATTTGTGTGAAAAAAATTATAAATATTTCTTATGAGTACAGTGTTGCGTGACCGCACAATTGTCATTCAAAGTGCAACAGCACTGAAACCTGAAAATTGGCCCGGGCAGGAAGGGGGTGAAAATGCCCAGCTTGCAAGTGGTTAAAAACAGGTTAAAACACCATCAACTCGTTTTCTTGGTTCTTTAGTTGCCACTTCATTAGGAAAAAAAGAGTACAGTACGCAGTACAAAGGGTGGCACGGGTGCACAAAAATCAGGTGTATATATATACAGTATATGTGATTTTGCAGCTCCCGGGTAGGGGGCGCATGAGAGACGTAGGGGTCAATTCTGGGTAGGTGTCCCGGCCGGTGATTACCGGCATCTCCGACGGGGGGGGGGGAACTGTTTGTAAACAATACAGTTCTCTCCCCTGTCAGCTCCTAGCACTGTGCAGTGCTTTATTTTAGCACTGATCACTGTATTGGTGTCACTGGGGATGTCAGTGACACCAAGTCAGTTCCCCCCGGTGTCAGAAAGCCCGCCGCTGTCCTGCAGTCTTGCTAAACCAATAATGTAAACCAATTACGTATATTCATGTAAACCAATTCCTTTACACGTATAGGGATTTTTTTTAGCAAAGACATGTAGCAGAATACATTTTGGCCTAAATTTATGACGATATTTGATTTTTAAAATTTTTTTACTGGACATGTTTAATAGCGAAAAGTTGAAAATATTTTTTTCTCAAAATTGGCGATATTTTTTTTTTACAGTGCAAAAAATAAAAAATGCACAGGGGATCAAATACCACCGAAAGTGATCTCATTTGCGGGAACAAAACCGTAAATTTCATTTGGGTGCAGCATTGCATGACTGCGCAATTGTCAGTTAAAGTAACGCAAAAAATGGTCTGGTCAGGAAGGGGAGTAGATCTTCTGAAGGGCAAGTGATTAAAGTGTGCTGTACACCTTTTCCTTATGAAGTGGCCAATAAAGAACCACAAAACACAATGATCAAAAAAACAGGTTAGAACACCATCAATAAGATCATTAAATACAGACCTTCTTGAAGAATCCATTTGGAAACACCTTTGCATTGAATGGGTGCCTCTGCTGACCACACACTGGTTGCATTTTGTTGCTTTATCCAGTTTACTAAATGTCATTCTGGGTTGGATTTTCTACCCAATTTCAATTGTTTTGTTGCTGTAAACCAAGAAACAGTCAAAAATTCAACTTGCCACGCTGTGATTTTTAGTAATTTTTAGCCTTCTAAAACTGCTACAAAAATCCAACCCTTATAGTCTGTACTAGGGTCTGATTTATTAAGCCCAATTTACATTACTGTAGTGCAATATCAGGTATCATGCATATGTGTGATTTTTGTGATGTAAGCCAGCATTCACACTAGTGTAGCATGTGTGAAATATCTATCATGCTTTTTATTCCATTCATTGCTAAAGACACTCCAAATGCATCAAGCAAGAAGTGTTTTGTTTTGCGCAAAAAAATGCAAGGTTAAAAAAATGTACAAAGCTCAAAAAGCTTTTTTCACATGCAGGGCAGACCATTGAAATGAATGGTCTGCCCCACAAAATATGGTGCAGTATACCTTTGTTTACTAACTGTGGACACTAAAAAAAACCTAAATTTGGGCAGACAAATCTTCTATCTCAGGAAACTTTCTAAACAAAGAGCCAGTTTATTGTCCTTCAGACTTTAGGGGAGGCTGGACTTTGTCCAGTGGGAGTGGAAATTTTCCTGACAACAGTGGTAGTAAACATTGCCCCATTTGGTATTAGAGGGAGGAATAGTGTCCCATTGTTGGTGTCAGTGGGCAGAATACTGTCTCATTTAAGTGGGAGGAATAGTGCCCCAAGGGCTAGATAAAGCCAAGCAAAGGGCCACAGATGGCCCCCAGGCCGCAGTTTGGAGACCACTGATCTATCTGATTGATACATATACAGATTTGCTTCACTTGGGCTGTTAGTTGTGAATTGTCATTTACTATCATCATATTTTGTCTGACATTTAATTGCAATGTAAAAAGGTTCATGGCATCAACAACCTCTACAGATACCTGAATACTCAAAGGATTAATTATATAGCCAGCTCTCTCTCTCTATATATATATATGTACTGCATCTCAGAGAAATGCCACTGTAAACGTATCCTGACTTATACACACAACCAATTACGGACAGCCCCATATACATAAAAGATCAATAGTAACAAATCCTTTATCAGTGTAGAATTCCAATACACCAGTGACGTAGCATTTGAAGGAAAATATAATTTTGAGGAAATATCCAGAGTGGCTGTAATACTGGGCTGCAGGGCTTTCATGGGGCTGTTGGAACAATATTCAGAATTAAAAGATTATAAAGCACAAGGGAGAATTATAGCAGAAAGACACGAGGAGTCAGCCAGTTGACCGAGTAGGTGAGTGGATCAGCTATTTGTATATCATGAGTCTGAATGATAACGTATTTTATATTCCTATAAATGACCTCCTTTTCCAAGGATCTGCATTTGACAGCATGACATTTCAGAGCCAGGAAGGAAGTCAAGGCTGGAAAATGTTACTCTGCCCGACACTAGGATCATAGTTTTAACAGGGAGCAGAAAGACAACAATCTGCAGTTGTCCTGAGTACATGTCATGGTCTGAAGGGTATCTTTACTCAGGGACACCAGTCTTACATACAGTATATTATTTGTACTGCTCTAATGGTCAAATGCACCCATACTCCCCAGCCCAGTCATTACCTCATCATTCCCATTTTTTTCACCTTATAAAAATGCCCACTCACTTGTTGTACATCAAATCACAGCATCAAACAGTAGAAAAACCTCATGCCTGGGTGTACTGCATGGGTTAGGACTCATCTGGGTGTGCCAAGATGGTGCCCGAGCTGGATGTATGTCACCGCAGACCGGAAGCTGTGCCACGGAGTATCTACGCGTTGCGTCACTATACCATGTGACTTCATCAAGTGAGTGGGCATTTTTATACATTAAAGAGTCTGATTTATCCAGTAATACTGCACTATGAAGGATCTTTCTTTCACTTACCATGGTTTATGGTGAGTGATATACAATGCTGGTGTATCTATCCTGAGAGGTCTGGAAGTACAGATCACTTACCTGAGAGGGGAACCACAGGAGGAGTACAGAGAATACCAGCTATTACTGGCAAAGAATCTAGGAGTGATCCTGGAGGCTTAGTGGCCCTTTTGGGTCACAGAGTGGAGGTGAGGGGGCATTTTAGCCATGGAGGATATGTGTGCTGACACCAACACAGAAATCATCACTTTCATCACTTTGCATTAATTTTTTGCTGTTTGGAGCACTATTTGGAGGATTTATGAACTTTATTTAATTTTGAGTGGAATATATTTTGAAATCCTATATCTGAGTTAATTTGGTCACTTTTTATCACTGGTCACTCGAAGTGTGGTT